TTTCCAGCAAGAATCTTTTTAACTAACAAACTTTGCTGTCTATTGCAAAGTAGTTGTTTCCATTTTCTTTAAAAACTAGAAACTTTAGCATATAAAAACTTCCAGCAATCTGAAAATTAAATGAAAAATAGGGACAAAGTTTTTATTATTAATTTTTATGATTCATTAACTAAAATTATTTTGTAGATAAATATTAACAAATGAAAACGCCAAATAAAAGAATAACCATAATTACAAATAATTCATAAATACGTAACTAAATAAATGACATATTGCTACACAAACAACCATTTTAATTTATAAAAGTTTTATTGGATATTATTTTATGCTACTCGGTTTTTAATCGATTTTCCATACGGGTCCCAGACAGATCCTACCAAAAAAAGCCCCAAAGTTCCTATATCAGATTACCGGACAAATCTCACACGGTCCCTTTGTGTATTGGTTGGCTGGGTAAACTTTGTCAACATTATTTGCATATATACTCTGTTGATATATGTTTACTGCACTGCGCTTATCCCTATTTATGTCAGTCAACGTGTGTACAAATATACTGCAATAACGTCTACATAAGTCGCATGTGTTAAAGTGTGTCAACAATAAAGTTCTACTTAACAGCAGATCTTATCCTGTTAAACATAATTATAGGGGATTATTTTTAGTAGTTTTGTAATGGCATTAGGAAAATAATCTTGTTTATTACTATTCATGACTTGTTTGTGACTGTGAAAAGTCTAACCTAGGAGAAATGAGAACATTCAATAAGTTGAAGTCGCTGTTTAGAAACTTTTCTAAAAATGAATCTAAAAATTGTCTTTTGAAAATTTAAGAAAATGTTACACATTCGACCAGAACTTCATTTGCTGATAAAGATAGTATCAGTTATTTCGATTAGGCTGTCTTAGAAACCTTTTATTGGTTTCAGGTAATCATTGGATAACTTGGCATGGATATAATCGAAATGGGTTTGATGATAAATTGCTAATAAAATACTGAAGCTTATGCTTCCCAATTTAAAATTATAACTTAATATAATATGAAATTGTTGCAAAATGTAAACTTTAAAGTTTATTTTAGTTAATAAGTGCTTAAGAATTAAATGTTATTAAGTTTATAAAAATACCATTTATTAGCCTTTATTAGTAAATAAGTGCTTTGGGATTAAACTTCATGAAGGTTATAAAAATAGCATTCTAAAATTGTTAAAAAATTGAAGGCAAATTTGAATTAGAGTTTCAAGGAAAGAAATTATAGAATATGAAGTTGATTTAAACATAAAAGCAATTCTTTTTTATAAACATTTTCATGCAATACACATACTATCTGATTTAGCTTTTAGTTTTCACTTTGATTTATGATATCAAAATTTATGTAAAAACAGAAATCAACTACAATCCTTATATGGGATAGAGAGGCTGTACTATTAAACACCACTTTGCTGTTTTCTTACACAAAACTATGATACCATTAAGAGTGTTTGCTAATCAATGTTTCGAATCTGTTTCTTACAATAGGTTTAAAACTCTGAGTAGAGTCTTAACTTCTGAATCTAAATTAAATTATGCACAGCTTTTAAAAAGAGTAATATTAGATATTAATATTAGGGTTAGAGTTTAAATGATTTAAATGAAATAGAGTTTAAATGATTTAAATTTAGAGTTTAAATGAAAAGAGTTTAATTTATATAAATTAATAATAAAAAAATCTCAAAGTTTGTGAAAGCTTGTTCCATAAGTTTAAAAGAATTTTCTTATTTTAATATATTTTTTTCATATTAAATTATGTTTAATATATTATACTTTGTGTATTATATTATACATATTAGTTACTTAAACACTTTTTAAACCTATTTGCAAATCGTGAATTTTGCGGAATTATTTAATATGTTAATATGTAGGGTCGTTTCTACACCTACCTTGAGTTTAATAAAAGTTGTGATAATATGTAAGATTACTCAAAAGGTAGAAATGCATCGGAAATGAATTTTTGAAGCCGTCAATGTAATACTATATTGATTTGTATTACAAATCAATATAGGGTTGATTTAAAATTATTCTCACTTTGAAATTAAAATCAATAGTGTACTTACATTGATCAAACTTTTATAACGTAGTTTTCCATTCTTATTGTAAGTGTTTTACGCCTATCGTATATATTGTTGACACTTATCGTATATCTTAAAATCTGCTTTGGTGTCAGCTTCATACCGCGCTTACGGTTTCAAATGAAAAAATAATGCGTTAGCAACATTTTATTAAGCGTTTTTAGGCATATAAATTAAACTATTAAAAATTAATTATATAGTAATGAAAAAATTATTTATAATTAAAGCTTAAGATTTTAAAGTATATCCATTACTTTAGCATATAACCATTAAGTTATTAAAGGATATATACTACATAAAGTTTCATCACAATTATCTGAGTCTTATTTTATAAATATTGTCAACATTTGAACGGAACACGTTTTCTGACTCAGTTTCAAAGCTTTCTTTTTCTTTTGCATCTTTCTTTTTCTTTTTCAAAATTTTCATGTTTTTTCTTTCCTTTTTAGCTTTTTTATTAAAAAACTTTTTCTCCATAGCTCATTGCTTCTTTCTTAATCTTTCTTCCTCAACTTTTGACTTTTTATCTGCAGCTAATTCTTTCTTTCTTAATTTTTCATCATTTCTTTGTGACTCTTCTTTTACTTTTGTCTTTTGAATTTGCTGCCACGTTTCAGATGTTACAACCGGTGGTAAACATTCTATTTTGCGCTTGGACATTTGGGAATGATTATTTTGGCCATATTAAAACACTTTCAATTGGATTTATGATTTCTGCTGCTGTCTTCAAACTGAAATAAGCTGGTTTTGGTTCTATTACCGATGAAATTGAAATCAGGCATTTCCATATCAGTTATAACTTGCACATTTTCTAAATTACAAGTTATTGATAAATTTTTTAAATACTTGGATCAATGCACTTTTCAATAAAGTTTAAGGGAGAGGCAGCTGATAAAGTCACACTTGAATGGTACTCTTCTAAATTAGGAGTTGGAGCAACAGTTGACTAGATAATCTTTGAGCAATTTTTATGTAGTCAACACTACCCAGTAGGCACGGACGTAAAAAAGACGCCTTTTAAACGTCTTATGCACGTTTTGGATGTCTTTTAAACTTCTTTTGAACGTTTTAGACGTGTTTTGAACGTTCAAAAGACGTCTTTTTTTAGTCCTGTGCCCACTGGGTATTAGCACCAAATGGTTTTTCCATTTGGTGCTAATAGTGTTGACTACATAAAAATTGCTAAAAATTGCTTGCTTCCGATATCAAAACCATTTTTAATATTACTTGCCAGAATCGATTATTAATAAATTTAATGCTTCTGGTACATTTTCATTATTTATTTCTTATCCTTCATATTCAATGCACCGTTATCAGCAAAAAGATTTTTACTTTGCTTTCATTGGCCCAAAAACTGCCACATCGAGCGACTGCAAAATATGTCACGCATTTGGGTAGAAAGCAACAAGAATTATTTTGTTTTTAGAACAAAATTCATTAAGTTCTATAGAAAAACGGGACCCATGATCATCATAAAAAATAATAACTGGTGAATGAAGTTTGAACATCTTTAAAAATTACTGATGGGGCAAAAATTTCGCTGGCATTTACTGCAAATAAATTGATGCCTTTTTTTTATTACTTCGAGCACTTTCTTGATATGTATTTTTTTCTCGTTTATCAATTAAAAAACTAGTTTTTGGTGGATACCAAAAAACACTCTAATCCATAATAAAAACACGCATCAAATCATTTAAATATTGAGCGTTTTTTTTCCAAAAGCTTCAAAATTTCAGCAAACTAATTTCTTATGGCTTTTTTAATTACCCCTGCTCTAGCTCCCCAGTGGGCACGGGACTTAAAAAAAATAATTTTTGAAAGTCCAAAAGACGTTCAAAACATTTAAAAGACCTTTGAAAGACGTCCTATTTACGTCCCGTACCCACTGGTTTGGTTTAAGTATTTACCTCGTTTTTGAGATAGCTGTTCGTGACGGCAAAGAAATGCATTAAACTAACCTTTTGGCCGACGGTTGGTAGTAAATTACGTTTTTATATTGACGTAAAAGTTATTGATGTAACAAAACTTTAAACCTAAACTTTCTACATTTGAATAGTGAAGATAGACTTTGTGATATCCACAGAGCTACACCATCTTTAGTTCAGAAAAGTTTCTAATTAATTTTATTTATTGTTAATTTTATTTGCTTTAGTAATTCAAAATGTTAAACAACTCATTTGTCAAAAGTTTTTTGTTTTTATTGTTCACTTTTTTAAAAATTTCGACCCTCACATGTGTAAGAACCTCCTGTCAGGGTTGCCGAGAGAAGGGGAGAAAAAGACAGTTTGTCCAGGGCGGCAGATATCCAAGGGGCGCCAAATGAAAAAAAGTACCTTGAAAAAAAAGTTCCTTTGTCTTTAATATAGAAAAATTTCTATAAATAAGGGCGCCAATCAGGGATGCTGTTCTATGCGGCGTGACGGCTCTCGGCGGCCCTGCTTCCTTTCCACTAATTTGGAAGGTGAAAGTCTTTATATTTTTGTTGAACAGCACTAAAACTTAAGTAATAGTAATACAAAAGCTGTTTCAACATAACTCAGAAGTTACGGGACGTAAAAAAGATATCGTTTGATTGTCTTTTGAACTTCCTTTGAACTTTTTAAACGGTTGCATGCCTACTGAAAATTCACATTAAAAACCGTTAAAAATTAATTCAAAGATGACATCAATAAAAATGATTCTATCGTTTTTAGTTCCATTAAAAGTGGTCTCCAACTCTTTTTCAATATATTATACCGTTTCTTTGTTTAAAAATACCGTTTTTTAGTTTAAAAATTCAATAGCAGCTTGACTTTTTAGAAACATGATGAAATAGAATAAATTGAAGAATTGAAAAATTCTTAATTTGAAAATTATTGATAATATTTTAAATTCATAATGAGTTTGTATCCTTTAGGGAAAAATGTGGCACAGGCACAGTGAAAGAATTAGTTGGAGATGCTAGAGCGGCTGGAATTAACAACGTTGTATGTATTGATCAACCAAGGTAAGAAATAATAAACAAAAGAACTCCGATTGTTTTGTCTAAATTTATTTAAAATAAACAATTTTAAATAAACTGGATTTTTTAAAAATTGGAACGATGTATTGGTACAATTAAATTTTGCAGCATGTATTGTAAGTTTTACTCCAAAAACATTATTAAGGGCCAAAATTACTAAAATTCATCTAAACAATATGTTTCTAATTTAAGTTCTAATAATGTTATGCAAGTATTTTTATTTTGAATAAAATGAACATTAAAATTATGTAGACTCAAAATTATATAAATTTAACAATTGCATATAATAAAAAACTCAAAAAATTTTTTAAAGTTGCTTAAGATTTTTTTTTTTTTTCATAAGTTGATTTAAAATCATCTTATTAGGCTTAACATTAAAAATGTGTTAGTCATCGTAGAGCGTTGAATATATTTAAACAGAGAGTTAATCAATTAATTAAAAATTATGTTTTTAAATTAAATGATACAACTGCCATATTAACTTATAGCCTGCTTTTATAGTTAAAGGTACTTAATTATATTGACATTTTTTATTTTACAACGTGTAAAAAAATAATTTTAAAATCTGTTAAGTATGTGCTTTTACATGATTTTGTTTTTGGTCTAGTTTTTTAAAAACAGACTTTCCCTTAAAACCTGTAAAAGTTTGCATCTTAACTACGCCCTTAGTAACCATGTTACTAAACAAGCAGGAACTTCTTAATATTAACTCATAACTTTTTTAACAGTTCCAACGCAACTTTATTATAAAAGTTTAAATTATTTTTTGTGTAAAATTTTTTGTTCTGGTGCTTTAGCTAAAAATATTCATTTTATTCATTAATTTTGATTAGAAGGTAATTAAAAATAAATATAAAAAAATAATAATAACAATTAATAAAATGTCAGGTGGGAACAGACACTTTTAAAAGAAAAAGAAATTGAAGTAGAAATACTTCAACAAGCCTCAAAAACTAAACTTTGTTTTTTATTTCATAAAATATCTTCTCTCACATCTATTAAAATTGAAAGTGAAATTGTGAATATATATATATATATATATATATATATATATATATATATATATATATATATATATATATATATATATATATATACATATATATACATATATATATATATATAAATATATATATATATATATATATATACATATATATACATATATATATATATATATATATATACATATATATACATATATATATATATATATATATATATATATATATATATATATATATATATATATATATATATATATATATATATATATATATATATATATATGTATATATATATATATATATATATATATATATATATATATATATATATATATATATATATATATATATATATATATATATATATATATATATATATATATATAGTGGGCGGCCAAGTTACTAGCAATATTTGCAAAAACTATAATATTAGCCATTTTAAGCTCTTTTAAGTATTCTTATGTTAAACTTTTATATAAATATTTTTCTTTAAAAATTAAAACACTTATTTAAAAACTATTACTATTTTTAAGCACTTGTTTAAGAAAAATCATAATACTAAATATTTTTTAGTATTTGGTTGGGCCGCCTTTTTCATCAATTACTGCTTGCATTCTTTTTGGCATACTTTGAATGCAATTCTTTACATTTACTTTACTTTTACTTTAAATTCTTTAAATTTAATTCCTGATCATTATGCCAGGCATTATTTAGTGTTTCTATGAGATTTTTTTTTGTTGCTTATAGTTTTCTGCCCATTTATCCGCTTAAAAGGCTCACAGGCGTTCTCTATTGGGTTTAAGTCGGAAGAATTGCCAGGCCTTGGGAAAACAGTAACATTTTTCGACTTTAAATTTCTTGTCACTGATTTAGCTTTATGGAATTGAGTACAATCATGATCAGGAAACCAATCATGTAACTTAGGGACTAATTTGGTAGCTAATATTTTTTTATATTTCTCCTGGTTCATTATCCCTTAAAATATATAAAGAAGGTCACTTGCCTTACCATATATAACTGACCACACCATCACTTTTAGAACTTTTAGAGGGTGTTTACCGTCTCCATAACACAGTCTGGGTTACATTTTTCTTCTTTCCTTCGTCTAACAAAAGAAGACTTATTGATTAACATTTCAAATTGGGACTCATTTGAGAAACATACCTCAAAATTAATAAAAATAATAATATAAATACTCTTATAAATGTTTTAATCAGTGATGCTGTTGCAATAAACAATTACATAAGTATTTAATTAGATTTTCCTAATCTTTTATAGACATATGGAGGTATTATTTTACCCATCTGAGACGTTTTAATTTCATCGTTGCCGTAAGTTTAGGTTTCCTCGCAAGTCTGTAGCATTTAAACTCCAGTTCTGCTATTCGACGCCTTCTAGTTCTGTTAGAAACCTTGATACCAGCTTCTTGTATAATTTTAGTAACTGCTCTAAAAATTGTCACAATTATTATAGTAGAGAATCACTTAACAAAAATTTTTTTCATTTTACACTGTGTTTCATCAACAAAGACTCATCAGAAATGATGATGGTCAACCGCGAAAAAAAAAATTTAAATTTACCATATATTCGTATGGATGCAGTTTCAAACAGTTTTATAATCTTTATTTTTTAACTCTAACTTCATTGGAGAGTTACTATGTAGTTTTTAAACATTTAATACTTTATTGTTGAATCATAAAACTCTAAATTACAAATTATAAAATTACAAACTTTGTTAACAATTCTACAAGTACGAAAAGCTAATGTATATATCGAAAAAATGTTGCCTAGTATTCAACTTAATTAAAGCTTAATTTACAATTCTTATGCTTTGTTAGATAAAATAAACCTAAGCTGGAGGTTCTTTTTATTTTAAAAGATGTTAAAAAAATCTTGAATACGCTTAATTACTTGTTTTGCACAATAATTTGTTCTGGAAATTTCCAGTCTCAATGATTCCTGATTCCAAAACTTTTTCATAAAGTTAAAGCTGCTATATAGCTACCGATAATCATCTGATTTGTACATTTGGTCAGTAAACCAATGGCCCACTAATATGTAAGTATATGCATAAAGAGCTAGCATTAATTTGTCAATATTATTTTGTTGACCAAGTCCTTTGCGTATTTTTGATAAAATACGCAAAGGACTTGGTCAACAACATAATGTTGACAACCAATGAGTTGTGATCTTTGACTTTCCTTTCATTAAAACTTCTACGTAACTGGCTGATAATACCATTAAATCCATCAATTGGATTCATCGAGAACAGATGTTACATCTTTAACAACGCTTTCTTCTATTCCTTCAATAAGATCAAGTGATTTTAACTTAACTTCTCTTAAATATTTTTCAACACTAACACCTGATATTCTTGGTGACGAATACGTTTATCATCAACGTAAAGTGATCAGCTTTCTAAATGTATTGTTTTCTTCATTTCTTCTTTAAGTTTAAAGGCTTCTTTATTAGTTGATCTGAATATACCAGAATATATAAAAGTCTGATTGTCGATCCCATCTTGAGATAACTGTTAAAAAATAGTTGCTGCTTAGTAAGTTGATATGAGGAGTCAATCAACTTAGTAAGTTGACTGACCGAGGCCGCGGTTTGATAAATTATAGCTGGGGCCGGGTTCGCAACCGGGACTGCATAAACATTTATACATTCTAAAGTATATTTTTTTATTCAAATTTCATGCTATATTTTGCAATATATAAGCATATATAAACATCATTATGCTCAACATAATCATCATTATAATAATGATGATGATGACGATGATGATGATGATGATGATGATGATGATGATGATGATGATGATGATGATGATGACTATGATGATGATGATCATCATCATTATTATTATCATCAGGTTTTATCCTTCCTCTTTTAATCTGCTACTATAAATAATTTAGAGCATTTTGCTCTAGATTGCAGGAAGCTACTTTAAAAAGTCCTATCTAATGTTAAACTATGTTACTCTCAGTTTACTAAATCTTATCTCAGATGGTTCAAGAGACTTTTTGATTATTCTTAAACAGTGTCATTAAATAAAGTAAGTCTTTTAATCTCTAATTCATGGCCTTGATCTTTTTACTTCTGCTCAGAATAAAGAGTTATTTGCAAAGATCTTCATCCAGATTGTCTTGATTCTTACAGTTGTGGAAGCACTTTTCTTATAAGACATTATAATTAAAGATAATACTTAGATATTATCCTGAAAGTCAATAATGATAAATATAATTGCTATTGTATTTCTATATAATTTGACTGCCATCTGGAAAATATAGATTTAAATACCATGTGCGTTTCTAAAAAGTGCGTTTCTAAATCAGGCAGCCTACATAATCTAAAACCTATTAGTTTCTACTAAATATATTATATCAATAAAATTATTATATTATCAGCTAAATATATTAGTTAGAAAAATAAAATACACGCTGAATTAGAGTGTTGATATTTTATGAAAACCTGGAAAATCAAGAAATTAATTTGAAAATTTAAAAAATCAGCAAGTTCCAGGAAAAATCAGAAAAGTTTTCTTAAAATCTTCAAGATCCAGGGAATATTTTAAAATAACTTCCAGCTGAATTAGTTTATATTCAGCGTGAAGTTATTTTGCAATATCCAAATTTTGAAACTTTATTATTATTGGAAATTGCTCGCTACAGTCGTATTGTTACTTTATTAATATATAATAAACATATCTTTAGATAAATAAATAAAAAATTAATATAAAACATAACTTCAGAAAACCTATATTTAGGAAGATTGCTTACAACACTCTAATTATAAAGGTACGGTAGTTTCTGACGCACATGCAAAAACTAAAGCTTGTTTCAAAAAATGTAAAAAAACTCCTTTGATTTGTCTAATAATGGGTATTAGGGCTACTAAAATGTAGCGCGTATTTAAGTTACTTATCATTTTTAATGTGTATTATATGTAAGTTGACTGAGTTATGGGAAAAGTGACTATCTTGAAAGTAACTCAAATCAAAAAGGTTTTTAATGTAAAATAAAAAGACAAACTTATTTGTTTAAAATTTAAAGTTTCTTAGCTATGTTGCCAGCATATTAAAACTATATTTCTTGGCTTACCAAACAAACAAGTTAAATATTTTATTGCTTGAACACAATGTACATTGACTTGGAAAAACCGTTACGAATCATACTGAGTTTGCTTGTGAAACAAGAATTTATTGAAAACATTTCTATACCAGGCCAACTAAAAAAAAATGACTTTTATAAAAAAGACAATCTACTAACAGAACATTAAATCAAACAAGGATTAACAGCAGAAACAAGACTGGCTCCTTTATGGAAAAAAGGTACAATAACCAATACTAATACTCAAAGTTTCTACAATGATTTCACTAATATGTTTCTATGATTGATTAAAATATAGAAAGAACTTCTCACAAACGAAGCGAGCGCTATACCACATTGCCATTACTGTGGTAGTGGTGTAGTGGTGGTAGAGCGCTCGCTTCATAAGCGCGAAGGTCCAATTTTGATCTCTACCATGTCCTTGATAGTACAACGTTTAGCTTCTATCTCCACGCAGCGGCCTTGTACGTCAAGATTTGTGTTTTGCAGTAATAGAGTTAAGAGAGGGTTGTAACGGCAATTAAAGTAGTCTTCTCGACATTGAGAAGGGGAATTAAGGTTAAAAAAACTTTTGCCACTGAATTATGGACAAGTTTAAGTTAAGTAAGATTTCAGTATGACACAGTACTGAATTATAATTTAAATAAAATTTTAATATTATAAATTTTACATCAACTTTATAATTATTTAGTAGACCTTATCTGATATTTTGGAGTGATATTAACGAGGACTCTTATGTGCTAGTGTTTAGAACATTATTAGTAGAGCATTATTAGTAGTAAGTTATGTTCTTTAAGAATTTATTTTTGTAGAAAATTAGAATATTTTACTACAAAAACACTTATTGATACAAAAACAGTGTTTATAAAAATAATACTCTGAAACAACTTTTGAATGTTTTTATTGTTATTTTTTTTTTTTTTTAACAGAGACACGCTGTTTTTGTTATGTGCTAAGTTCCCGAACGCTAAGGAATGTGCTTCAATGTCAACAGTAGAAACTATCAAGTAAGATTTTATATAAACTTGAATATTTTTATTAAAATAAAGATGCAGTTAAATGGATGTTTTCTAATTTACTTAAGAATGTTGTTAACGTAATATTATTGCATCACTTAATATTATTACATGGAATTGTCAAAAGTGTCAAATAAATTTCTTCAAAAGATATTTGTATTGGTGTTTTGATTTTTAGATGAACACAAATTTTTAAAAACATTTAGCAATGTCCGTGACAGTCATCTTTTTGTTGTTTTTTTAGATTTATTTACATTTAATAAAATATTTTACTTCAGATGAAATTAAAGTTTTTTCAGGAATTAAGTTTTGATTTATTCTAAAATGTTATTGACTTAAATGCAATTTTATAACGGAAGAACGCTTCAAAACAGCTATTCTCGAGCCCTTAATACAAGAATGAGGGGAGGGAGGTTGGGGGAAGAATAATCGTGTGTGTGTGTGTGTGTGTGTGTGTGTGTGTGTGTGTGTGTGTGTGTGTGTGTGTGAATTTTAGTTTTGGGGAAGAATAATCGAGGGCGTGTGTGTGTGAATTTTAGTCCATATCTAATAAACGAGGGGTTGGGGCGGGGAAGGGAAATTTGAATTAAAGAGATCGAGGGAACTTTTTTATGTTACAATATAAGCATTATTTACAAAAAAGTTCAGTTGATAAATCCGAACTAATATTTTTTACAAAACATGATTAAAACTATTTCATTCCAGCGTGGCACAAGCCAGGCTAGAATTAAATGCGCATTTTTGAACAGCTGTTACATCATAATTTCGATAGAATTTAATATGCTGATAGGCATGATCCTATAAATTTTATACTTTGGTGAGAAATAAATCAAAAGTCTATTTTCGACAAAATTAGATTTACTTGGTCGGCGATTTTTAAAACCTGTTTATACTGAAAGTTTTTATTAGTGACTGAACAAATTATTTTCTAATTTTTAAGGCCGAATTTCACTGATTTTTTTTTTTTACTATTGAGATATAAAGTTTTTGCTAACAACAAAATAAAATTAATAAATTTGGGGGAGGGGGGTCTTAAAAAGCTTTGGGTGGGTGGGAAAATTTAAAAAAAATTAATAAACGTCCCCTTACTCCCTTTTATTGAGAACTATACGGAGCAATACGGAATTTTACAATTCGCTTTTTTGCTGTACTCTTGCTCTTGATTATCCAAGTTTTTAATTATGCAAAGTTTTTATTTATGCAAACGCTTGTTTCTATTAGCCAAATGAAATCTGCAAAAACTGATCATGAAACTTTCTAATTCCGAAACTAAGACATATTAAAATATTTTCTCTCAGAATTGAAGGAAGATGATAATGTCATGATTTTCAACCTGATTGTCAATAAATTCTCCTTCATACATTGGTGTCTGTAAATTCCAAGTTTGTTTGACCAGTAGATAATTTGTTTGACTAAATTAATTAGACCAGGTATTTTAAAAGAGTTACTTTGACTTAAACTACTTAAAAATCAAATTAAATAATTAAATTGTTGCCAATAATTTAGATTTTAAGAAGTTTTGAAAAAATTTCTTTAAATAATTAAATGTGTTTCTGAATAAAGTTTATTACTCATATCATAGATAAACTTTATTCAGAAAAACTTTTACTGAATAAATTAATAAAAGTGTTTCTGAATAAATTTTATCTTTTAGCTAAGATGTTTCTAAATAAAGTTTAGTATAAATCAAAAATGATTTTATTTCATATTATTCGTACTTTTTTGTTTCATTTGTCAGAAAAAATTAAACATTATTTTTAAGTAATTGTTTTAAAATTTAACATTTAATTAGGTCAACTCTGATTTATTCAATAATACTTTTTAAATAACTTTAAAAAAGATTAAAAAACGATAATAATGATGTAACGAATTTTTCAGTTTTTGTTTTCGCCTAAATAAAATACTTTTTCAGAATTTTTATTAACTTTTTTTACTACCACCATTTCCTCGACTTGCTCAACAATATTTAAAAAAATTTCTGCATCTTTTATTACTATCCTCACAACCAAAACAAAATGGTTGTTAAGTGCTATTCAATTATTAAATGCAAAGAAAACATAAACAGAACATTCAACGCGCATAAAAAGAAAATCTAATACGCAAAAACAGTAACAGTATAAATAGAATAAATGGGAATTAGAAACAAAAATACGCATAAACTGAAGTAGTAATAGCAGTAAAAATATAGAAAATAAAAGTAGAAATGCGCATAATCTAAAAAATTATTCGGTTTAAAAACTGATTTGTAAGGTTAGAAACAAAAGTTTCATTAAACCCTATTATAGTTACAAAAAAAAACAGCCCAATATTTCAAGATGAAAATAGTGGTTTTAAACCTGAATGTACATAAATTTTTACATTAAATCCAAGTACCACTGGTTTACTAACATGCTTAATTTATAATGGAAGGTTGTAATGAAAGCTTTTAATGGAAATTTGTAGAATATGAGAAGTTTATAAAAGAAAGAAGTTATAAAATAATTGTCTTTAGTGTCACTTTTTAACTTTTGCCAAAAGATACTCATCTAGTGACAAAAGATATTCATCTAGTGATAAAAGATAAACAAAAAGAGTAGAATGTACAAAATCTTTACAAAACATTTAATAAATTAAGGTTTTAAATTGTCTTAGAGCAGCTTGCGTTTCTGTTTCTCAAGAAATTATAAATCATGGAAAACATTGGAGATTGTGAAAAACTCAAGAAAATCATCCAGGGATGATTTTCAGTAATCTTGGGATTTAAAAGGATATTAAAAAAAGAAGAAATTTGAAAGTAAGAAGAGTCAATCAATTCATCTCCAAATCATTGCGAGTTTCATTTAATAATTGATGAAGTATATGAAAGATAATTTGATTAAAATATTAAGTAATAAAGTCCGTTGGCTATTGAAAGGAGGCTGTTTTTCAAACGTATTGATTAACGTATTGAACTCGTTAAAACAGTTTCATTATAGCTTTCAAATACTGAAGTTAAATAATCATAAATGATTACAAAAGTTCTGTTAAGATACTAGTTTGATATCTTTCAAAACAATTTATAATAAGAAATAGCAAAACGAAGCAATACTGCGCATACACTCTTAAAAGGTGTAGTATTATTAGTTAATTATCTATGTTTATTCAAGATATAAAAAATGAAAACTCAATTTATTTTTACAATTAAAAAAATATAAAGAAGCAGGAAATATCATTAACACTAAGTATTTTTAGCAATATCCAAATAATGATAGATTCCTTTGATAATCATTTTACAGAGTTTAGAAAAAAAAAATTTACATCATTTTTGACACATTCACTTACCGTAAAAATGAATTCAAGAAATATTTCAAAATTCTAGTTCAAAAAGGTCTCTTGAACTCAATATAGACTTTGTTAAATAGATTTAAAATCTATTAGAAAAAAAGTATTCAAAATTTACAACTTTTAAAACAGAACTAGAAAATTTGAAAAAAGTTTGCAGCAGATGACAAGTGCATAACTTTTAAATTCTTAAAAGGAAGATTAAAATTATATGTACATGGCATTGTCTTCCTGAGAGATACAACCAACTTAAGCTGGTAGCATTTAGTTTCAATTATTTTTAAATGTACATATTATTGTGTTAAGATATTTAGCAACATGAATTCCATTAAAAGTAAATTAAGATCCACTTTAAAATCTAAAAAAAAAAAACGTTTTTAAAAATGAAGATCTCAAATTATGAATCTGATTTCAAATAAATCTGTAAATAAAACAAATCTGTGAACAAAAACCTTACAAATGGATTGTTCATTTTTATTAAACTGTTTTATTTTTTTATTTTTTCGTATATTGTAAAAATAATTCAGACACTTAAATGTAATTGAATACCATCAAATTATTATTTGTAGTTAACGATTAATAGTTTTTTACGCTGTAATTGATGTGCCTCTCAGGAATCCCACGTTTAAGCATAATACAAAAACATGTTTAATATTTTTACATTTTGACCACGGCTGATAAAAAGTTAAACATTTCAAAAATGATAATATAAATTAAAATTCGACTAAAGAAGAGGATGATCTTTCCAGCCATTTAAATATCAACCATGGCTTTGATTATTTTTTACAATATAAAATCATTTATGATGAAGATTCTTAACCTGACAACAACGTTTTGTCAAGTTTCATAAACAAAAAAAAGTCAATTTTTATCTTGGCAGAGTTTTGTGTCCTTGGAGACAGGAAATTAATTTTTTTTTTAAAGTTAAAAAGTTTTAACCCTAATGTATAACCTTCAAAATATGTATAAGAGATAAGGGCAAAATAAAGCGCGACTTTAATTTGTTAGCGAAAAAGTTATAAAAAATAAAACATTAAACTTACGAATACAAAAGTAATAACACTCAGTGACTAACTGCATTCTAAAAATAATAGTGTTATTGCTTTTATAACGCACCTATAACTTTTATAATTCATTTTTTATGAAATATAAAAGTTATGATGAGTTCCCCCAATTTTTATTTGAAGTAGAAAAACATCTAGAAAAAAATAGTGGATGTCTAAACAATATTGAAAACTTAAGTAACTTATAAAAACGTAAACGTAACTTTATCAAAACGTAATGTATAAAAAGTTTAGCATTATTAAAAACGTTACTAATGATACGTAAAAACACGCGTTAATTTTCAAATCAACTGATAAAAACTTTTCCTCGTTGTCCTTTAAAAAAAAAATTTTTATAAAAAAAAAAAAATTTTTTGTTTATAAATTTTATATATTAAAAATTATTTGATCAGTTAATAAAAACAGTTAATCGTTATATTAAAAACTCATTCAACACTTTTGCTTTGTAAAAAACTACATTTTCTCACTTTATCGTTTGTTTTTCTTTGCAAAAACTTTACTTGAAATGATTTTTTGCTGAGAATATATTCTTTTAAAATTTAATTCAAATATTTTTGAGGTCCCCAATATATCTAATTAAAAACTGTTTTTAAAAAATTAAGTTTTAAGACATGCATTTTTATAGTTTTGTCCACCTTTTGTTGCCCACGCGTTGTTTCAAAAGAGAAGTCTTCGTTGATGTATATTCCTGTTCTTTTACGTTGATTAGATGTCATAAAAAACAATAAGCGATTTTAATAATAGTTTTTAATGATGTGATCTTCTGGTAGGTTTGGTAAATTAATCTTATTTATGGATATTATTATAATATATGTTATAGTTACGAATTGTATATATATTACAGTTGATATTTGTAAATAATACTCGCAGTTAGATGATTATAAAATATTAATAAATTAACGCGTGAAACCGACGAATAAAACGAGGGGGGGGGGGGGGGAGGAGAGGAGTTTAATCTTTAAAAAGTACTGACTGGTTCCTTAAAAAAGAAAAAAAAAGTCCTTAAAACTAAAATTCATCTGACCGAGTGGTGTTAAATACCCGACTAGCCAACTAAATTTGTAAAATACCGACTATAACTCAAAAATCCATCTTCTTTGGGGAAAAGAGGAGGGGGTAGAACATCCCCCCTCCCCACACACACCCGTAAAGTCGCCTCTTGACTCAGGGAACCTTACAAGAATTCCACACAATTTAGTATTTAACAACAATTGTTTTACTTTTATTTTCTTCATTTTTTCCAATTCTGCGAGCTCTCTTGATATTAATGTTCTTATTATTTAACTCATTTTTAAATAAAATTAATAATTTTTTTTCAGTTTCATCCCAGGTATCTTGTTCTTTTTCGGGACGCCGATCAATGCGAAGATTATTTCTTCTGAGTCTATATTCTATGTCGTAATTTATTCCTTTCCTATTCACCTATACTGTTTTTGTTTTTAATTTTCTTTTCTAATTCGCATACATTTTTTCTTCGATGTCTTGAGTAACTGTTAGGTTTTCTTCAATTTCTTTATTTGTCTTTTTTAATATTCTTTAATTTTTTTAAGTTTACTATTTACCTTTTCGCTTTCTTTTTGAGTCGCAAATTTGCTTTGATTTATCTATTTCATTAAGTAGCGTTTTTTTTTTTTTTTATCGTTAGTTACTTTTAGGTTACCACTTAAAGATATCTTTCTACTGGTTTGAAAACATTTCATGAAAAATATCGTGAACAACATTTGTAGATATTTTTGTTTTATTTATGTTCCCCGTTTTGTTAGACTTCTTTCAAACAAAGATATTTTTCGAATTTTATAGTTAGTTAGTTTGTTTGTTTTTTAAAAAAACTATTTATAAAATCTAAATGCAAGTTTTAAAAAAAAAAAAAAAAAAAAAAAAAAAAAATTGCATTCAGATTTAACTTTATTCAACGTTGAGGTAAGGACTACTGCACTGCCAAGACTAATAAATTTACATTTGGCTTAAGGGCATCTTTAAATTACGTAAACAGTAAAACTACTGATTTTGGATCTTCTCCCTCCTTGTACGTACCATGTACCTACGTGCTATTCATTCAAAGTCAACCCTTTCCCTCCCATTCAATATATCTTTCAAAACATAAAAAACAAAAAACCTTTAGTTAGCTTGACATATTTCTGTTACAAAGTATAATATTATTTTTTTAAACTCGTGAAAATCAATGCTTTTGTAAAAAAAAAAAAAAAAAAAAAGACAAGTTTTAGGAGATATAATCAAACTGTGTACGTACTCGTTGCATTCAACACCCACTTCCTCCTTCGTATGCATTTTTACGTTTTTGGCGACACCCTCCCGCATACCTGTACGTTCTTTACAAAGACTCTTATAGTAAGAACAAATTTATTATCATCGCACCATCTTTGAAGACTATTTGCTACTACTTGTGAAAGGGAAAGTTTTTACCGAGTATATAACCAAAGATGTTATCTCCATATTTCTTGTGTGTAATACCTGTCGAGAGGTAGTCATTTATATTTAGTATATAGATTAAAACGTGGGTTAGGCCAAGAACGTTTTCTTGTATCACTTCTGATAACATATCTTTTCATTTAGTAAGCTTGTTGTTTAATTTGATTTGTAGTTTACTGTTTAAAAGCCAGTTTGCACTGCAGGATGGTAACCATGACGACAGTTTGATCTCTCGAGCTTCAGCAAGTTCAAGGCTCGCAGCATATAGTAATTTACCAGATACGCTGTCATAGCCTGTTAGTGCCATTTGTGCAAACAAAAATAAATGTTATTTATATTTTATTTTTCATAAATATATATTTTTTTCCGGCAGGGAGTTATGTAAAAATGATACCTTTGTTGTCTTTTTCTTTTGTTTATTGGCATTTAAACTGCATTTCATGATAATATTGATTTGCAGTAATAATATGTCTTTTTTTAAATAGTTTTTATATCTAATTTAAAACAATATATATAAAGATTACCTAATTTTTTACTTGCATATCCTCTAATCCAAGATCTATATAAATATTTTGCATTTACTTAAAATATCGTATTGCTGTGGTAACATTTTAGTGGGGAAGGTCCGGGGAACGTCTGACGGACGTCCGCCGGACGACGCGAGTCCACTGGGTTGTTTGATTTTTAAAGCTACTACATAAAAAAAACATAAACGTTCGCACTACACCGGCCCAGTGCGAACATTTCTGTTTTTAAACAATAAGGTATTTAGTTTTAAAGTAGAACGTTAAGTTTTCATACTTAATTAAAAAATAAATAATTTGGAAGTAACCTGATAATTTTTTCACTACGCATTTTTAAATGTTTATTGATTTACATGTTTTAATGTATTACAATTAATACTTTTATTTATTCATATTTAGGAAAGATAAAGCCCAAAAACAGAAAAAAGTTCACCAAGTGAAGAAATTTCAAAAAACTGGTTAATTAAAGACGTTCTTAAAGTTCAAAGAAAATTCTTTGTTTATTGAAGAATTTTTCGTTAAAAACTTACAAATTTTTTTTACAAAATAAAAAGAAGTTTGTTTCAAAACACTGCAAATTAAAATACTGAGCGAAATCAAAAACTTATTTGCATCTCTCAACAACGAAAATATACTTTAATGCGTTTCATTTTGTATATTGTATTTATATTAAAAGGAAACCAAAATGTGAAAAGAATTTATCTAAAGTGTAATTTTTAAGTTAAAAAAATTTTCATGAAATTTGACTTTTTTTTTTAAATAAGTAAAATCAACAGGACTAAATGATCGACTTCAACCTGCTCCGGTAATATTTTAATTTAACAAAATATTATAAATAATAATATCAATAATAATAATAAAAATAGTAATATCAATAATAATAACAAAAATAATATATATACATATATATATATATATATATATATATATATATATATATATATATATATATATATATATATATATATATATATATATATATATATATATATATATATATATATATATATATATATATATATATATATATATATATATATATATATATATATACATATATATATATATATATATATATATATATATATATATATATATATATATATACATATATATATATATACATATATATATATATATATATATATATATATATATATATATATATATATATATATATATATATATATATATATATATATATATATATATATATATATATATATATATATATATATATATATATATATATATATATATATATATATTGGGTTTTTGGGCGCATGCGCACGTTTTTGAGCGCATGAAAATAAAAACTAATTTTTTTTTCGTTGTTAATAATATTCAAAATAGATATTAAAGTTACTTATTTCGATTTAAAAAAATACACTATTAAAAATCTAAATATTTCAAAAATACATAAAAAAATTATAAAAAATCAAGAAAAGAAAGTATTATAAAAGAAAGATTTATACTTATAACTCGTAAGTTCAAAAAAAGATTCATACTGATTTTCTCGTATTTGACATTTGGAGCCTTAAAACTTCTTAAATAAAAAAAACTAAAAAATCTAATTTCAAAATGCACTCATAAAAGTTAATCCAATAATGTAAATTTGAAACAAAAAAAAAGAGTTTAAAAAGAATTTTAAACCTTATTTAATTTGAACTTTTTTAAAATTGGAGTATTTATGTAATATTAGTAGCCTATCTTGACCTTATGTTTAAAAATTAATTTTTCCATATTTCCCAAGAATTTTCCCAAATATTTCCCAAAGAACCTGTTTTTTATTTTTGACTCCTTTAAACTTCTAAACGTTTTTTGAGCACTAGAAATTCAAAGTCCATGTAAAAATAAACGTTGCTCTTGAAGTATTTTTGAGACTTTTTTTTCTTGTAAAAAATTTGTAAAAAAAGTTGGTGTTTGTAACGCATTTTTGACTTGTAAATAAATATATGCTAAAATATTGAAACATATGATTAGAAATTAAAAATTACTACTAAAGATTCGTTAATAAAAATTATTTATCAAACAAGTTTATAAGCTTTAATAAATTAAACTGTTTATTATCTATTGGTACCTTTAAACTCTATAATAAATCCAAAACTTGATTTCTTTTATTATTCAATGGTATTGATTCAATGTGCAACCGTACGCAGTTGGTTTTAATTTACATATCAAAGAAACAGTAGCATTAAGTATTTCAGATTTCCTAGAATTAATCATTAAGTATATCAGATTTCCAAGAATAAAATTATTTTATAAAAAATATTTAGAGTAAATGTTTGCTGAGTTTTGAAGTAGCGTAGTGGCGTGTAGTGTTGCAGTAATGATGTGGTCTTTGTAGTTAAGACAACAGTTAAATTTGTTATAGTTTAAATAATGGTATCAGAGATAAAAAGAGGTAAAAAATGCAAGTGGTAAACGCCTAGTGGTAAAACTGTGCTTGATTTGTTTTTAAACTCAAACGTTTCAGGGCTTCAGAGTTTATAGGGTTTAAGGAATGTCTCTTTAATTGTAATGGGATCTGGGACTAGGAAAAATTAACGTATATTTAGAACTCAACTATTTACAAATTTAAATTAAAAGACATAACATGAACTTACTATATTTGTAAATGTGTTATTGATTGAGACGATTTTAACAGTATTTTAGGAGTAGCTGGATACGCAATTGTCTTATCATAAAATAATTTGAAGCTGGTTGCACCCACAATAATACTAAAATTTGATTTGAATTTGTTTGTGCGTTGATTTTGTTGGTGTAGGGCTGTTTTCGAACCACGATTGTAAAATTAATTAATTTTACAATCTCCGTCTGATTGTAAAATAAATTAAAATTAATAGTTGTAAAAATAAACATAATAAACATAAAGTGGCGAATAGTTTTGCCAATATAACAGGATTAATATCCTGCAAAAACAAATTTGTAAAGAGCAAATAATTTAAAATCTACAGAAAAATGATCTTTATATTAAAAAAAAAATTTGACGCTTTTTGTCAAGTAAATACCATCTTACTTACCATCTAGACATTTTAAGTCGGTCCGACTTAAAATGTCTCCTAATAATTTCGTGCAATCTTTGCTTCTTTAGCTCAGATATTTTACCAATATAATTATACTAATGTAATATATAATGTTTAAAATAGCGAGAGCTTGTTAACTCTTCAGACGGTAATGGAACATTAAAACCTTTACTTAAGTACGAATTGTGAATTTTAAAGAAGAAAATAAAGTAAAGCTGTAAAAGTTGGTGTATAATGAACTGTTTGGCTTACATAAAGTTATGTCCAAAAAAAATATTTTTGAGTTTTCTTCCTTTTTTCATGATAAAAAATATTGAAGAATCTTTTTTGTTGATGTAATCCACTAATAAAAATGCGTTGTTTTTTTGAGGGAAAAGCATCAAAATCGTCAACTACATAAAGTTTAAAAACAAACCGTTTTTAACTAATATATTTTAATTAATGATGACTATATGTAGTCAAAACATGTCTTAAAATAATAAAATGTTTTTAATTAGAATTAATAAAGTTGTCTTATTATAAAAGTATTTTCATATTTTGTACTAAGAAGAAGTTTTGAAAATTTTCGCAGTTTTTAAAGAGATTCTTTATGTTATTTTATTCTCCTACATTGCGTTACTTTCTATGGCTTTTAAAATCTCTTAGACACAACAATCTTCATTATTACACAGGAAAGCATTTCAAGTTTCACTTATCTACTTGTCAATATGACACAACAACTTTTTAAAGTTACACTCAGTCGCTGTGTAACCTGCTTATAACTCTGACCAAATCTCTACATCCGACACTCTAAACAGAAAAGGTTTTGAACAGAGTATAACTTTGTTCAAAATAATCCGGCGTTAATGTCAATATAATCCAGCGCAACAAAAAATATATTTATCCTAACAAACATTCTGTATTAAACTTTTCTTCCTGCTTCTATGACTACTATAAACCTAGCTAATAGACAAAAAGTTTCTATCAGTTATTGGTTTTAATCATTTCAACAAAGCAGAAGGAACTTTACCACTTCAAATACATGTTCTAGTCCATTTGTAAAATATTTTCTTTTATTTATATAGAATTATACAAAGACACAAATTATGAGGACTTGCACATCCAGATAATAAATTTTTTTTTAAGAAAATTTGATTTTAAAAATTTAACTTTTAACGATTTTATTTCTGTATGACCAGAGGCGATTTTAGGGGGTGTTGAGGGGGTTAAATATTTTCGACTAATTTTGTCTGCTAGTCAGTTATTTGGCACAATTCAGTTGGGTGAATTTTCACTTTCCCTTGTTTTGTTTGTAGAATCAAAAGTTTTGATCTTAGAATCGCCTCTGAATATGATCATACATTAATTTCTTCGTGTATTAATTTCTTTTAATCTTACTAAGAATCATAAGGATGTTGGTTTGTAAAAACAAAAGAATTGATTAGTGTAGTAATTAAAATAAATATATATTTGGTTTAACAATTGCACTTTTATCCGCTCCTCATATAAAAGTAATACAAATAAATTTATGTTGGTTTTTCTGTTGAAAACTTCTGTTGGTTTTTCAATGTTCAAATACAGTTTTAGATATATATATATATATATATATATATATATATATATATATATATATATATATATATATATATATATATATATATATATATATATATATATATATATATATATATATATATATATATATATATATATATATATATTTAGTTCTAATACAGTTTGAGTGTTAAAGTGTGCCAGGTTCATAAACAGATCTTCCAAACAGCTGCTTAATTTAACAGCATTACTAAACTAAGTAATGCTGTTAAATTAAGAAATGCTTATCTTTACTTAATATTGTCTGGTCAATTAGAGGAATTTACAAACAACGCTAAAAAGTTTTACCTTTTGCTATTTCTCACTTTTATTATGTTGCGAGTTACGTTAGGTCCTCTTATTTATAAAATTTTCCCATTCGCTTCTCCGTGAAATGCTCAAAGCAAATGCTGAAATGGTAATTCATTAAAGAGCAAAACAGAAAACCTCTGTTGTGGGCTATATTTTTTTCGATTGCGTAAAAACACCAACACGAGAACGAACCTGGAACCCTCGGATCACTAGCCGGAGGAAGAATCCACTCGACCACGCATGCGTTTTTTTAGTTTCTTGTTTGGATACTGAAAACTTTGAATATAAAAAAAAAAGAAAAATTTTTTACGTTTTTAATAATTTTCAAAATTTTTATTGCGATGCGCTAGATCCAGACGTAAAATATTAGTAGTTTTCTATATCCATCTTTCTGCAATTTTAACCGAACAGAAAAATATTTTTTATTTATAAATGATTTTTTATTTTACTTATTTACCATTTCCACACTTTGTTAACCTTAAATAGTACCAAGCAACTTGTTATAAAGCATTTTTATTTTATTTCATTTATCGGAAAAACAGTAAAAAGTGTATAGATTTAAGTATTCAAGTGCGAAGCGCTAGCTCGAGACGTAAAATATTGGAGCTATTTTTTCTGCATTTTTTATAGATACCTTAGAAGCAAATATTCTGTGGCATGCAAACCTAAAATCGAAAAATAATTGTTTTTTACCCACCCTAATAAATTTCTTATGATAATATGTTGTAGATTACTTTGTTTATCTTATCAATATATTGCTTATTTATTTTGTACAGAAGATTGTTGTCAGAGAAGTATATTATAATTACACAAGATTTATTACTATTACAA